AACTCCTCATGGTTATAAAACTCCTCTTCCCCTTCATTTCTCTCATCATGTGTAACCTCCCCAAACCATAACACCCATCTCTTCCTCTCCCCTCGCATGTTCGGCCAGGCCTTAGCAGCTCCAGAAGGTTTTCCGGCAAGTAGACGGGGAGGTAGAAGAGGAGAAGCTCACACGAGAAGTCGTACATTGTTCGTCGTTCAACCATTCATTCATTTGTTCGTTCATCATCATCCATTCGTAGTTTCAACACATCATTTAGAGGTGAGTAGTTGTTCCCTCTAATTCTAGAACATCAAGTTATAATCTATGTTGTTATATTCATAGGAATATCGTACGCAACCTACGTAGAATCTATGCATGTTCGTAGGTTAGCCATCCAAATGTTCACCACGTAAAACTCATACATAATGGCCTCGGAATCACTAGGAATATATTCATAAATGTTTACATTATTGTTTTAAAAAGAATCAAGGCGTTAAGTTCACAAAACGGATCAAAACGAAGCCAAAGTCAATAGACTGTCTACGAGACGGTCGACCGCCGCCAAGGACGGTGGACCGTTTCCCTTGACCGTCCGTCGGCTACCACCGTGACGGTCGACCGCCGGCCACGACGGAAGACCGAGGTGGACCGTCGGCATACCAGACCCCCCCACAACGCAACCCACGGTCGACCGCCGGTAGGGAACGGTCGACCGTTTCGCGGGCAGAATTTCGGACAGTTTGTAGAACGAGCCCCGTTGACCATTTTGAATTAGAATCTGATTGTGTGTTTGCATAAAATGTTAATCTTCATCATGTATGTTATTTATATGATATATTATTGGCATCAAGCATTCATCATGTCCAATCTGAACACATGTATTCATCATGTTCATCCTAGACGCATGTCTTAGATTCTCATCATGTGCATACCGTTGTAGGGAGGACTTTGTGTGCCTACTACAGCGGGCCCGTCCAGGAACCCTCGGGATCCAACGGGTTTTCATCAAGTGGGCTTTGTGTACGTACATGGTTGTCAGGCTACGGCTACCACCCGGTTTCGCTAGTTCACTTACGACGTTGTCGAGCCCGGGTCATTACCGGAGTGCAGGGGTGATCCTGTCAAGTGAGACTAAGTCAGGGGTGTCCCTAATAGCATAAGTCATACATCAAGTCATATAGTCATCAAGTATGTTCCATGTCGCGTCAACATTCAGTGTGGTTGTCATCATCATTTTTGTTTCCCATCAAGTTCATATTCAATGTGGTAGTACATCATTTTGTTATACGTAATGGTATTCCAACAGGTGTAAATTAATCAGTTAGTAACATGAGGTTTACCGTACGTTAAGTACAGGTATTAATATGTGTATAGCCATATGGGTTATCACTTAATGTTCTTTTGTTAAATTCACTCCTCAGCTTTTGCTGAGCGTGTAGTTGTCTTTGCTACACGCAGGTAGACATGGCGGTGCGGGTGCCAACCCTGGAGGACAGTGATGGTGGGAAGATGGGCGGCGCATGGACAAGTTCAATAATTGAACACATTTAATTAATTAATCATTTGGGCATGAACCCACCATTTGTCGTTTTACTCATTTATTTACTTCCGCTTTTACTCTGCATTTATATCACTCACGTTTTGGATAATTATCCTAACATTTACTACACCAATTAAACACAAACATTTTCATAATAAATAGTCATTAATATCCCATCAATCAAACGTAACCGTTTTCACATTAAATAATCACTAATGTTTTGTAACGGACGGTTCTCGGACCGCCCAAGTAACCCTACCGGTCCGTTGGGTCGCGGGTGAACCAGGTCCACGGAAGGCGGGTGTTACAATTTGGTATCAGAGAGTTCGATTTTGTGAGGAAAAAAAAAATATTTTTTCATCTTGGTCAGAGAGTATTTTCAAAAGTCCCCAGCCGCATCTCCCATCACATCATTCCCAGGGAAAGGTACATCATTATTATTATTCACATGTATATCATATTGTAATTAGTTCTCATTTAAGTTAATCCCATAAAGAATGAGCCAAGCAGCAGGCAACGATAGACAGGTTGTCCCGCATGGGGAGCCTGAGCACGTGAGCGCCTGAGCACGTGAGCACACATCGAAGCATCATACTAATTGCGTTATATGCTCACTTGTTCCCATTTTGATACACTGCGATTGTTAGATGAGTACTATTAGTACCAGAAGCGTGTCAAGCGTTGACTCCAGTCGAACCTTCGTGCTCGGTAAGAGACGAAAGAACAAGAGGCAAAGTTACGAATCAAAAGAGCGTTACCAACGTGCACACAGCAAGGCTCGGATAGCAAAGCTAAGAATATGGAAGCGCCGAAAGGCAGCATGGGAAAGAGATGATCAAGAGGAAACGTTCAGTGTGGACACTGCTAATAGTATCTGCGGCGCAGGTGGAGAAAATCCTCCAGTGGACTCAGCCCGGCTAGATGACTGGGAGTGGGTTGCTTCCTAACCGATGATATAGTCGAAGGTGTAATCAATGCAACATTTCGTCCCACCTATCTAAACCAAATACGTTCCTTGAATGAATTTGTCAATTGGTCCTTAATCCATTATGCCCACGTATGCTTCACAAAACAAAGTTTTGGGTAACGCACTATCTCCCTAAACACGTGAGGGTGTGACAAGGAGAATTTCGGGGACGAAATTCCTTTAAGGGGGAGATAATTGTAACGCCCTACACACCGGCCTAGTTTTAAATAAATAAATATTATTTATTTATTGAGACTCATTGTTTTAAATATTAAATATTGAGATTTTGATCTCATTAAATGGACTTCAAAAGTTAATGTTGTTTTAAAAATAAAAAGGATGTTTTAATAACGGACTTCTCGACATTAATTAATTAAATAAATTAATTAATGATTGGGGTGGACCCGGATGTTGAAAAAAATAAAGTTCTTAGAAAAATTATTTGAACATGACATTAAATTCATTTTGACTGTCTGATTCCAAAAACATAAACGGTCTTCAATTTGGACCCGTTTGGGGGAAAAACTGCGTACCGTTCAGCTCAGGTTTTACACAACGGAGTAAATTTTAGGGAGATAACTCCCCATCCAATCCTCTCCCACGCCACACTCTTCATCTCCCATAACCCCCCATTCATATCCCATCATAATTTCTCCATAAACTCCCATAACTCCTCATGGTTATAAAACTCCTCTTCC